TGGATGACTCTTTGTTGTAGAAGAGCTGAACTGCACATTGTAGGATGTTTAGCAGCATCCTTGGTCTCTACCACTAAATGCCAATATCAGTCACCCCCACAACTATCTTGATACCCCCAATGTGTCTTGATGCTTTTCCAAGTTTACGAAAATTACCCCTAGGTAATAACCATTGTCTAGTGGTAGAATGAAGATAAGTGAACAGGCCATCAGTATTGAAAGAACCCAGAGAAGAGTTTCAGAAACAGTGAAGTAAGATTAGTAAAACCTGTCTCCAGTGGTACCTGCATAAAGCCTTCTGAATCTCCAGGAGATTTCCTCTCCCCATCCCAAGTATTAGTCAGCTTTCTGTTGCTGTGACAAAATACTTGAGGAAAAACAACATAAAGCAGGAAATATTTATTTGGGCTCATGATTTCAGGATTTTAGTCCATAGTTAGCTGACTTCATTGTTTCTGGACCTGAAGTGAGTCAGACCTGGCGGCGGAAGGGCGTGGTAGAGCAAAGCTGCTTAACTCATGGTAGCTGAGAGGCAGAGAGCAAGAGAGAGGAAAGGGCTCAGGGACAAGATGCAGTCGCTAAGGACATGCCCCCAAGGACCCACTCATTTCAACTAGGTTCTATGTCCTAAAGTTCCCACCACCTCCAATATTCTACTCAATTATGAAATTTACTTACTTAAATTTTTTGTGATGCTGAGGATTGAACCCTGGTCCTTGAGCATGCTAGGCAAGCACTCTACCATTGAGTTATATCTCCAGGACTATATTTCATTTTGATTGTGAATTCATCAGTGGATTAATTCATTGATAAGATCAAAACCCTGGTGATCTAGTCACTTCCCAAAAGTTCCACCTCTGAACATTATTGCGTTGCAAACCACGACTTCAGTGCAGGAGCCTTTGGCAAACATCCCACATCCAAACTATAACACCCTCCTTCCCTCATTGCCAAATACCCATAGATGTGGGTACCAGTTTGACGCCTTGTTTTTCTGTGGGCCTGCACAGGCCTACTGTGTTTAGGAGAACTGAATTGAAAACTGAAGGCCCAAAGCTGTGGTCAGTTACTCATGCATAACCCCAGAAATATCCCATTTATGAAAGCCATGCCTAACAATCTGAGGAGGGAAATCTTGGTTCAAGAGGTAGACCAAAATTTGCTCAGAGTATATGAAAAGATTTAATTCAGAATGTTGATTATAGTTTATTCGTTCTGCAAGAAATGCATTGTTAAAAGTCTCTTTACAGCAATATCTAGGATTCCTTTCTTACAATCTTATCCCTAAACCCAAAGTAAATATTGTTACATCCCCTCTTTTCCTTTTAGCATGCCAGCTCGATTATAGGGTTCTGGTGGAGATGAAACTATTTTAGTTAGACTCAGGGCTTATGAGGGATTTGGGAACAAAAAAAAAAGTTAGAGGATAAATTTCTTCAACCTTAGCTCTGCAGCCTGTGCTTGTTATTGTTTATGCGCAGTCATGAGGAATTTCACCCAGGAGAAACAAGCAACAACTGTTCCTATTTAGCTCTCTGAGAAGGCCCTATTTGGGGTGGGGGGAGAGGATTAGATCATAACATAAGTCCATTAAGAATTTTAGAACAATGTCATCCATCACACAGGCCTTGCTGTAAAACCTAAATTTTTACATGTGAGGTCTCCTCAGTGGAGAATCATTATTTTTAAATCACTTGGGGATTCTGAGTGACAAAGTTTAACCACAGGCGGTTGATTGGATGGAACTCTTCCCAGAAGTGCATATACTTCTCGCATGATGCACACTATTGAGACCTTTAAATGCCTTTGGACTTAGTTCAGTGAATCAAACCACTACTTCTTGAAAGTGGGTGAATTTTGTGGTTAGATACCCCTACTTCATAGGGTTCTTGAGGGTTTAAAATGAGTCATATAAATGAAGGCTTTTTGTCTTTTGGAAAATACTATACAAATGTACAAATGTAAGGTGTCACAGTTGTTACTGCTGCCAATAAGGCTGATGGGACCAAACTCCCAGGAGAGCTCATTTTGCAGTTAGTGTATTGAATGTGCTCTGCATACTGAATTAATTTTCCTTGAAAACACACGGTCAGAGCTGGGATGTAGTTCAGTGGTAGAGTACTTGCGTGGCATGTGTAAGGCTCTGGGTTTGATCCCTAGTACTGCCCACCCCCAAAAGGAACAAAAACACACATTTACATTTTCTTAGTAATTTATTGAAGTGTAACTTTAGCCCATCTCCTCATCCCAGAGCCATCATGTTGCATGGCTCCTGGGGTACCAGTCAATTATAGTGGCTCTGATTCATCTGGTGGTTTCCCTTGAGCTGGACCATTGAGGACACATGTTGATCAGCCTAGTTGAGATGACTGATAGTGAGAATTTATAATTCTGTTTCCTTTCATCTTGTCAACCTTTATTTTCATAAATATCAACTCATATACTGCTAATTTTGGTCAACTTTTCCCAAGTTCTTTTTGCTTCCAGGGGGATTCAGACAAAGTGTGTGTTCCTTCTTTTTTGGATGGAAATGGAGATGGAAAAGGCTCTACGTACCACTTTTTTTTTGGTAGTGCTGGGGATGGAACCCTGGGCATCATGCACACTAGGCAAATGCTCTACCTCAGAGCTATACCCAGTGGTAGCTCACTCAATTACTAACCTCCAACTTTGGATCCTCCTGCCTCAGCCTCCTCAATAGCTGGGATTATAGGAATGTGCCAACACTGGCAACATGTTATCACTTTTATTTATTTATTTTTATGACTTACTTAGTCGATTTATTTATTTATTTATTTATTTTAATTGATTTTTTAAAAAATAAATGACAGCAGAATGCATTATAATTCTTATTACACGTATACAGCACCATTTTTCATATCTCTTGTTGTATATAAAGTATGTTGACACCAATTTGTGTCTTCATACATGTACTTTGGACAATGATGTCCATCACATTCCACCATCCTTGCTAACGCCCTGCCCCCTCCCTCCCACCCCTCTGCCCTATCTAGAGTTCGTCTGTTCCTCCCATGTTCCCCCTCCCTACGCCACTATGAATCACTTTTAAACTCTAAAGAAAAGGGTGGAGTCCATGCCAGGGCCCAGTACCCTTTTTCCAGAAAGGGCCAGATAGAGAATTTTTTTAGTTGGGAGCACATATACTCCGTGTCTCAACTCCTCAGTTTTACTGCTATAGCATGAAAGAAATCAGAGATTTTATATAAATAAGCATAGCTGTGATCACATGAAACTTCATTTAGGGAGTAAATTTGAATTTCATACAACTTGTGTCATGAAATAGTCATCTTCTTTTGATTTTAAGAAATCATTTCAAAATGTGAAATTCATTCTTAGCTCAGAGGCTGTGGTATCCTGGCCCCTGGTCCATGCTGTTCTGTTGAGGGCAGACAGTCTGTGATTGAGCATTTACTTAATCCCTGTTCTCCAGCTAAGGACAGAGTGACACTCACCAGTCATTTAGCCTGTGAGGCAGAAGTCTGGAATTGTGTTTCAACCCCTGCCCGGATGCTTTCCAGCTGTGACCTTGAGCTAATCACAGGATATCAGAATCTCAGGCTGCTTATTTGTAAAATAGTGATAAAAATTCTTTTTCTGCCTCCCTCACGGCACTGGGGTGAACCTCGAATGAGAATCTTGGCTCTGTAGCACTTCATTAACATGAAGCATTATAGAAATAATGAAGCACACAAACATTTTAAGAGTCTTATTCCTTGTTTCCTCCATCTCCAAAAAGTACATCAGCATTTTAATCGACTTTTGCGAAACAGTCCTGAAAGACCAACTCTATGCCTCTATGAGGAAACAGAGATGAGTAAGAACTAGACCTTGTCTTCAGGGCAGGAAAAAATGGCAGGAATCTCTGTCCCCTCAGCAAATTAGAGTGTGATGTGGCCCAAGAAGAGGGATGAAATGAGCAATGTGGAAGAGACCAGCCCTGCTGGGGGGCCAAGGTGGAACTAGAGAGAGTCAGGGAAGGCCTCCCAGCAAAATTTCCAACCAAGCAGGTCTAGGAGAGGAGGCATTTCAGGAGATGACTTGCAAAGTGTGATGACATGGAGCAGCATGGGAAATTTGGAGAACTTATATAACTGAGTGTCAGAAGCCAGCATGGGTGAAGGACCCCCATTAAGGGAAAAACAGCTTGAATTTTTTTTCCTGTGATCAAAGAGGAGTCATCAAAGAACTTAATCAGGACAATAACATGATCATCTCTGGGCTCTGGAAAATTCACTCTGGGGGCTAATGTAAAGGAGGTAGTATTGGTGGCTGCAGAAGGTCTTGGTGGACAAAGAGACCTCTTTGGCAATGCAGATGAGTGATGAATCATAAGACAGTAGTATTATAGTCAACATGGCACACACCTTTGATACCAGTGACTTGGGAGGCTGAGGCAAGAGGATTGCACGTTTGAGGCCAGCCTCGGCAACTTAGTGAGACCCTGTCTCAAAATAAAATGCAAAAGGACTGGGGGTGTAGCTCAGAGGTAGGGTGCTTGCATGAGACCCAGGGTTCAATCTCCAGTACCAGAACATATACTCAAAGAAACAATAGCATTAAAGGAAGAAGAATAAAGATGCAAAAATGTGTAAATTATTAAATTAAAAGAATATTTTAAACACGGAATACAATGTAAATACACTTGGATAAGCACAATATTTAAATATATTGAATCTTTTTGTAAGTAAATCAAAGACACATATACCATTAGATTTAAATTCCCTAAGTTTAGGTGTTTGCCTTTTGAATTTTCTTCAAATTGGAGTGCCTGTATAATTGACCCTTAGCAGAATACAATGCTTAAAATTTCTGTGTCACCCATGTTACAGTTTTGATATCTGAAGAGGGTCATTGACAGAGTGTTCACAAAGTATTAATAGGAAAAGTGTCAGCTTCTGCTGAGATTTTGAAAACCCTCTGCTCAAATCCTGGCTTCTTCATGGAATCCATTGTGACTTGACTTATGCTTTTGTTTTCAGAAAAAGTTCCAAGCATTAAGGAACAAAATCCAGTTCCTCCACGTAAGTCTTTCTGCAACTATTTCGAAATAAGCCTCTTGGGCTTTTGTAAGAATGAGTTGGTTAGTGAACATTTGCCAAACTTGGAGTTTGATAAGGAGATTTATGTTCTCATCCTCCTTTCCCCTTTCCTCTTTTTTCCCCCCATACTTTTTTCCTTTCCTCTGTCCTTCTTTCATCATCTTCTTTCTTCTATCCTTTCTGTCTTTGCAGAAATATTAATTAAAATATTAATTTGTTGACCTATTTGACATGTGTGGCCTGAACAAGAAGGCAGTAACTCGGCTTTAGAGAGATAAGCTAATGATTTGCATGCGTATATCTGTTATGATTTGAAAGCATTGACGTACAGCTGTGCGAGTACTTAGCTTTAAGTGTTGGTCAACAATGTTTACCTGCTCAGGGAACTAGTTGCTACATGTTCAAGACTGTCTCTAGTCAAAGAGGTGGGGTAGAAGGGACCAGAAAGAACTTTAAGAAAATAATAGAGCAGTTACTACGGAATGATGAGCTGAAATTTATGTCAGCCAATTTCAACATTTTGTATGGAAGAAAACATTAATAAGAAATATTTTAGCAAGTTGCCCAAGATTATCGTTGGCACTGAGGCAATCAGCTTCCCAGAAACCCACAGAGAGTTCTAGATGATACAGCCTTGTAAGAAGAATCTGTATGTGAAGATTCCCAGTATTAGTCTCCAGGGCTGACCCCATAACATACATGTGACAGTCAGGAGAGTGCTCTATACAAAGTCATAAACTGTTCCCCTCGTGGGTTATTTACCAAGATTATGGAACAATATCATGACTTAGAAAGAGTGAGCCATTTGGACACTATTTCTCATACTTACCTAGTTTGATTTTCATGGAATTTGTAGATGTTTTCATTAAAAACTTGTAATTATGCTTCATCTTTGCTTCCATAGGCATAAAAAGGCAAGTTGTCTTTTAATATCTGTTCTAAGGACTAGATTCAGCTAAATAGGTTAATGGCTTGGTTCACAGGAACCTCCGTAGGTCTCTTCCCAGTTCTTGTCCTTGCTAAGGAGCCCTCATATTCATTCTGTGTAGGCAAAGTTATCTTCATTTTTCAGAATTTAAGTGAACACACAAAGTGGCACATGCTAGAAGAGCAGTGCCCAGACTTGGGAGTGTGGATCCTTCCAGACTGTTCTCTATCATGACATAACTTTCCCTGAGCTCTCTCAGTGCTGGGGCTCGAGAGTCACATTTGATTACTACTGAATTTTTAAAAATGAAGTGAGTAGAAAAGGAAAGAGACTTAATTTATATAGAGATCAGTTGCTTCTGACTAGGGTGAAAAGTAGAGATAGTATTGAGGGGAGAGACCATATATCTTCAATTTATACTAAAAAGACAAGAGATCTTTAAAATTTTAGTCTATCAAAACCCTCTCTTCTTTGGACACTGATTTTAACTTTTTATAAGTGACTCAAAGAGGATAGTTTTCTTAAGAGAAAGGAAATATCCTATTTCTGTGGCCTGGAATTAATTTCAAATATAAAATTCTTTGCCAAATGGAGGAACAATTGGTTCTATTTATGTTTTGCTGACTGCGAAGCTGACATCACTCCCTACAGAGAAGTATTTATGTTCCCCTTGTAGAAAGATTACGGCTGGAGATGTGTTAAAGAGTAGGCTCCTTTAAATGACATGATACATAGTTCTTAAGATTGAGGATTTAATATAAGGTGGGTGAAATGTTATAATCCGCAGCCGTAGTTTACTCTTGTTCTGTACTTTCTTCTCACCCTCTTTCTTCTTTTTTTCTTTCAAACTTTTAAATATTCATGAAAGTACTATAAAGCAATCTAAGTATGTATTTTCTGTGTAGTGTGTCTCACTATTGGAGGTATTCGATGAATAATAAACAATGAGTCAGATTTTTTAAAATATATTTTTTAGTTGTAGATGGACACAATATTTTATTTATTTATTTTTATGTGGTGCTAAGGATCAAACCCAGTGCCTCACACATGCAAGGCAAGCGCTCTACCACTGAGCTATAACCCCATCCTGAGTCAGATTTTGATGATGAAAGTTCACCTTATTTTCCAAAGCATCTTAACTTGTGAATTTTCAAGACACTCTCCTCAGGTTGGGATGATGAAACCACAGACTTAACATTTTACAAAATTTACAAATTTTATTTTTTAAATTAGTTTGTTGTTCAAAATAAATTGCAAACTGAGAATATTTGGAAGCTTCATAATTTCATTTTCCATTGACCAAAAGTTGCAAGTAACAAAATACAGTATATTTTATTGGAATCCTTATTACATTCTCAAATTTTATTAGTCAGTGCTCAACCTTTATGATGGTGCTTGTAAAACAAGTATAAAATTCAATGTATTATGTAGACTAACTTAGGGCCTGTGTATTGGTTTCCCTCTTTTATAGAAATTTTCCATGGTCTGGACACCCTAACCGTGATGGGCATTGCATTTGCAGCATTTGTGATCGGAGCACTCCTGACGGGGGCCTTGTGGTACATCTATTCCCACACAGGTTAGTGTGACTATGGACTCTCAGTTGGTACACAGCCTGAGCCTGCCACACAGTAGACACTCAGTGTTTTGTTGGATGGACGAATGAATGAAAGTGAGCAAAGGTTCATTTCCGCTCTTCTCACGTTTATGGATTTGACCTAGATTGGATTTTATAAAAATATAATTTACTGTTGGATGCATTGACCCATGCCTATAATCCCAGCAACTCAGGAGGCTGAGGCAGGAGGATTGTAAGTTCAAGGCCAATCTCAGCAACTTAGTGAGAGCCTGTCTCAAAATTTTAAAAAAGGATCAGGGGACTGGGATTGTGGCTCAGTGATAAAGTGTCCCTGAGTTAAATCCCCAGTACCACCCTCCCCAAATATATATATATATATATATATATATATATACATATATATATATATATATATATATATATATATAAAATTTGTTTTTACAGTTGTAGAAAAGGAATGTTTAAACTATTTCTGCTCATAACAATCATGACATTGCTGAAGTTTAGCTTCTAATAAAGCTATTTTATCTTTAGAGTTTAAAGGAAGTTAATGTAGACAAACTGGAAATATAAGCAGTTCCTCCAAAGATAAAGACTTCAGAATAGACATATAAATGTGCAGGGAGTTAAAAAGGAAGCCAGGAGTTTACTACCACATCTGCCAAGGTGTTGACCACTGTCCACTGGAGTCCCTAATCAACGACTTAACCCAGACTTTCTCAACCTTTTTTTTTAACCCATGCTGTGTGTATCTTCTTTGATAAACATAAAATTCTCATGTCTTTCTATGAAAAGTTAAATTTTCAAAATTATTTTCATGAATCAAAAAGATATAATGCAACAAAGCACTTTGTTTTTAAGCTAAGCTTCCCAAGCCCCTCAAACTCCAATGTGCTCCAAACCAAGTCCCAGGCATGAAAGCCATTGGTCTGAACTGGAAACCTGTTCTGATGCCAGAACAGAATGAAAGCTCAGCAAGGGGATCTCTATTTCAGTGGGGAAGGAGCCCTGGACTGCTCTCTTGCATCTTTCCTAGTTTCCCTGCAAATATGGGAAGGAATGGCATGCATTTTGAGACATGCCTAGGGAGCTAGCTGGTCTTATTTGCTCTTGGGTACTTGTTTACACTGTGAACCTGTGTCAACAGTACTAGATGGATCATTTTGAGGCAAGAGGCAGTCTTCAGTCTCTGTGTTTAGAACTTTATTCTCCGTTGACCACTGAATGCTCTGATCTTTTGCCTCACCTTGGGCCGTTCAATCAGCCCAGCTAAAAGGATGACCAATTTAAAGGAACACAAAGCACTACTAAAGGACATTTTGAGACACTACATTTTTGCTCTCTTGACACAGACATCCTGTGACTTAAAATTTCAAACTCTTTTTCATTCAAATTTTTGCTTCAAATACTACACTCCCTGACTAAATGTTTTAGAAAGGAAGGAACAAACCCTTTTGTGCCTCACATGGGAAATTCACCCAACCCAAAGCCAACTTCTTGGCAAAAGCAATAATGGGGCTCTGAGTCCTCAAATTATTGGTCTTCATTAGCAACCTTTGAGTGAAGTATGTTTCATGTGAGAGAAAGAAAAAATAAGGCTCTTAAGTGGAATGATTCTAAGTATTATATAAACATCAATGAATCAGTTTAGGAATATTCATTCTCATGAACAGTTTATAAAAGGACCAGAAGGGACAACTTTTAACTGAGTAGTATTTTAGAGTAAATCATTTTTGTCACAGGAATACTGACATGTTCAGATCTCAAACAAAGTTCTTCATAACTTTTTCCAACCTCCTGCGTGGCTGAGAGGTTCTTGGGCTATTGGCAGTCTGTGTTGTCTCTTGGGAATGCACTTGAAAGTACTCCAAGAAGCCTGTGTAGCCCTGAGGATTTTATACAGCCTAGTCACCCACAGATGCTTTCCATGTGCCTGCTCAACCACCAACTAGTCTTGGTCATAGCTTACCCTCAAACCCTCACAGCTAATCGTGGACCAGGAGACCAGGTCCAGGCAGAATACAGGGCAATTAAATGGTGCTCACTATGGGAATATGACCCACTGAAACCCACCCCCCCACCCACCCATGATCCTAGACTCTTGTCCACAGCCAGGTGCACAAACCTGGTAAAAAGCAAAGTGTAGCAGTGAGATAGCCTATGTTGCTCCTTGAACTTGGACGATTATTGTTATTAATACCCTGTCCCTAAAACCAGGGGATTTGGAAGTATTTCTCCTACAGAAATAGATTTGTAAATAGATTAAAGAAAAAAAACAGAAATGCTTCCTATGATGTTTTCCAGCAAAATTATGCCAATTCAGAAGGTAAAAGGTGTCATAGACATTGTCATTTGGGCTTAACATCTGTTGGCATCACTTACAATATAGCCTCAAGATCACTTTTTATTCAAAGCTGTAGCCTCTGGTTCATTTTGCAGACTGTTCATAAGAAATCCCAGTGTCATAGAAGCATGAAAAAGGCTTTTATTTCCCTCTAGGGTTAAGTCTCCCTGCCAGTTCTGGTTTTGTTTTCTATATATTTATCATGAATTCATCTGCCGACTCTGTCAGTTATCTCAGTCCCCTCTAATGCTTTCAGACATATCAGGTGTTGTACTGATTCTTTTTATTTTTCAGTAAATCTTCTGAATTTTGAAAGCATTCATAGTCCTCTAGCTCTGAGAATTGCTATTGGCAAGTTCAAGGTCATTCAGATTCTTGATTCCCTTTGTATGTGGCCTAATTTTTCTTTCTGAAATAAATTCTACAGTAGAATCCCTTGATTTAGGTATATTTTCATACATGGTGGTACTGAGCACCAATTGAGCCCTGTCCTTCAGTGCTGATACTGAGATCTTATTTAGAATTCCTCCTTTTCCTCACTCCTGTTTTATATATTCTCTTATTTTAGAAACCATTTTATTTGAAAGTGGAACCTCTTCACTGGTCTTTGAATTTTCCTTTCTCTTTGGTTTTTCCATCTTTTTCCTTTCTTTATTTTCTGGGAGATTTCCTCATCTTTATCTTTCAGTCATTTATTGAGTTGTTAATACATTGATTTTTTTATTCCAATAATTTTTTCTATGGATTTTTTTCCTTTTTTAAAGTCTATCTGAGAATATTAATCTGGAATTGTTTCAGAATGGGGAAGTTCTAGTTTGCAGGTCGGAGGTATTAACTGTGAATTTCTTTAGGATTATCGGGCAGGTTTGTTTTATTGAGCCCCTGATATCACCTCCTGGTGATCCTCTCAGGGTCATTACTTATTAAGTTTTCCATAAAACAGGTCTTGTTTCCCACCCAGAAGGTGTACCTTGGGAGATCTTTTAATGAGCACTGATTAAAATAAACTGACATGGAGCTGGGCACGGTGGCCCTGTAATCCCAGCAACTCTGGAGATTGGTTTCAAGTTCGAGGTCAGCCCCAGCAATTTAGCAAGGCCCTAGGCAATTTAGCAAGCCCCTTCTCAAAAAAAAAAAACTAGAAGGGCTGGGAAGGTAGCTCAGTGGTAAAGTGTCCCTGGATTAAATCTCCAGTACCATAAAACAAAAACAAAAGCAAAAACAAAACAAAAACCTGACATGGCAACAAATGATATTTGGCAAATAGACACTGGAAAGCAAATATTCAGACTTCCTGGACAGGGTATGGTACCAGCCCTTTTCCTGAGTGTGGATAATTAAGTTATGCTCTGGAGGAGACAGATAGTCTTGTTCACTGGTGCTGGAAGAAGCAAGGCCACTTGCTTTTAGCTGCTGTCAGGCCAGCCAGTGCCCAGGAGAGCCCAAAGCATGTTCACCCAGCACTTTCTGAGTGCAATTCTTGCACTGTACTGGTGCTGACATTCCTGGAACTCTTGGTTTCACCCTTTTAAAAGAGTAAACTTCCGGTCTTCCTCCTGGTGAGGAAGGGCAGGGTCGCAGCCTGGTGGAGTCTGGAGATATAGAAAAATCTTACTGCTTCTTACACAGAAACTCAGCTATCTCCCTTTAGCCCTATATTCCCCCTCTCTTGTTCCTGTTGCCATTTCCTGAGTTTCTGAGGGCTCTATGACACAGATTGGTTGTTCCTCAGCCTTCCCACTGTTGGCTTAGGTTTCCGCTCTCTTGAGTCAGTTATTCTCCTGTTTTTTCACCAGCCTCCAATACTTTATTGCTGTTGTCTTCACTCCTGTTATCTTTGTTTTTATGGGGTTATGCCTTTTGAAAATTTATTCACTGTCATTCTGGTGAAATTTACAGAGGGAACGCCAGTCTGTGTGTGCATACAGAAAACAGTCTCTACTAAATCTTGCCTTGGTGTTTAAAAAATCAGCTGCTCTAGAGGGGTTCTTGGGAAATTACTATCTGCTTCAGCATCTCCTTTTCACATAGGGAAGAACAGAGCCAGTAAACTGATGCAACTATGCAGAGTTACATAGTTATAGCAGTCAGGCCTGGAACCTACTTTATGGATTTGGATACTTTCTATTCTGTTGTTACATTTTCAAAGGACATGTAGTTATAATACTTTCATCTTCCTCTTGCATATCAGAGAATAAACTTATGATTCACATTTCTAAAAATTTTTAATAATGATGTATTTGATATTGCTTTCTCACCACAAGTCAATCAGCACATAACAGACTTGGAGGGCACTCCTACTAATGGATATCCAGGCTTTGTGTCCAGCTATGAAAAATGCCACCAGTGTGGAAGCAGTAGGAGAAAGCAGGTGGATTCACATGTAATTTGATTATTCTTTTTACCTCTTTTTAGTATACGCTAAGTTTTGTTTGTTCGCTCATTTATTCATTCTTTCACTCAGTGAATCTTTTTTGAGCTGCCCTTCAGTTTGAACACTGTTTGTTCTAGCCACTGGCAGCACACTAGTGAATGGTACAGAGCCTTGCTCTTGTGGAGCTTACATATTTTAGAAGCAAGAGAATAACCAGACAGACTGGCAATAAACAGTGATTCAGGTAGAAACCCAAATATGAACACAAATGTCAACATTTAG